TCCCAAAAATTAACTCATCACTACATTCCTATTTACCCCCAGTTTTTAATGATAAAGTTCTCAGGTTCTAGCTTACTTGAGTTCTTCTCCATAAAGCAAAATAAAGTTGGAATTTTCAGTGCTCATTCTGTTCCAACTCTGGTTTGATTTGGATAATACATCAAGAACCTTTGAACTATTAAAAAAAAGTATGGCCATAGTGCTCAAATATATCAACATTAACCACAGGCATTTAAGGTACCATTCCTTCACATCCTAAATTTCACATTTCCTCTTCACAGCTAATCTGAAGAGAGCTCACTCTCTACCCACTCCATGGAGCATTTAAATGTGCAGACTGAGGTGTGCAATGGCATTTCCCTTAACACACTTCTTCCAATTCTAGTTACAAAGTGCTGGTCAAAGTTCTGAGGGGCTGTCAAGAGTCAGGTATCCAGCACGGCTGTGTTCATTTGCAAGTCTACAAATATACAGCAGAACTATATCAATTTAAAAACTGCCATGGAGGAAGTTTGACAAACACGTATTTCCTATCTTACTTCTGGCAAAGGAACGTATCTGTTCTTCTGCCAAGCTTCTTGTAACTGAGTAAGGGAGTGAAACTAACTTCTTTACTCCACAATTTTATGGTATAATCCAAATCTTAATTTTTATTAACAGTCTTTTATTGTAAACTATGATCTGCTAAATATAAAAGGCAGATAATTACCAAAGTAAGATATGGCAGCATCCATTATCATCATATGAACTTCAAAAACACTGTAGAAAAGACTGCAGCAGATATTTAAAGTACAAGCTGCAACACTTGAATTTGTGGCCTAAAGTTTGCCGAAGTTATGCAGCTTCCATGCCCTTCATTAAATGAGATTCAGCTGAAATTGTGTTTTCTCCAGCTGTTTAACTTAAAGATCTCATATGTACCTACCTAGCTATGTAGCTGCTTCTCAGGTGCTGTTCTCTCAGGCTTATTGACACAGCTTATGACTGTCTGCTGTCCTTGTTCAGCTGAGTGATTTCCTACCTTCCCCTCACCCCTGTACAATGGGCGAGTTCATCAAGCCATCACACCTGAAACAACTGCAAAGCTCAAGACAAGTGAGGTTTTAAGGAGAAATTACAGTTTGCAGTCAGTCAGTTGATTATAAATAAAGTGTATCCCCAAAATAAAGAGGAAGAAAACACTCACTCTGTAAGGAAGGCAGAGTTCCAAGTTTAAATTCAGCATACAGCCTATTAACATGCGCCCTCAGTTACTTTCTCCATTTGTCCTCTTTAAATGCACAGCCACATCTCACCTGTGATCAGAAGATTCAGTTACACTGCACACACCTTCCAGGACACTCCCTACACTGAATAAGCTAATTACATAAGGGATTTGACAATTAGAAGACAGAGAACATTATTAACTTGGATAAGATGCCATCCTCTAGCCCTGACATTAACCACATCTTACAATATTACCTTGTCCAAAAACACTCATCTACCACATATTCCACAAAGGCATATATAGCATAAAGAGAGCTTCTCCTCACTAACTGCAGGAGGTAAAGTAAGCAACTAATCATTATACCAGTATCAAGGACATGTAATTCAAGTCCCTTGATGAGTGGGTGGGATGCAGGTGTGTGTTTTTCCTTTTCTTTAGGGCTGGAGGGAAGGGGGAGGAGGGCAGGCATGGGGGATACTGGAGTCCTCCCTGACTAGCATGACTATGCATTGTTTCCATCTTTTCTTTTTAGGTGCCTCAACTCATTTATGTTGCTCCTGATCCTAGAAAATCTCAATGTTTTCAACTCAGAAGATACAATACAAGAGTGCATTTTTTATTTCCACACTTATTTACCTGTACTTTTACATCTAAGCAGTCTTGGACTAGAGCAGAGGTACAGAACAGACTTCAAGCACATAAAAGCCCACACACAGCAAGATCATTTCTCCTGCCCAGAGCTGCTAAGACAAACTATCACAAGCTCAAAGTAAGACAGAAAAGGAGAAAAATGAGGGAGAACAGAAAAGAAAACACAGCTAAATCTACACCTAGTTACCTAGGGGCATGAGTTTGTCACAGACCTATTTTTCCTAATAGTTTTACTATCAAAAGCTACACCTGAAAATCAAGGTAAAAACTTAGCTATTGCTCTGCATTAACAAAAACTGGTATTAACCATGCTTCAAACAGCCAGCCACAAAACTGACAGGTGCACACTGTCAGTATTAACTCTAATGCCCATCTCAGGGCTTGACAGCCTCCTGAAAGTTTAACACTTTTGTTCCCAAAATACATACCTCAGAAAACAAAGAACATATTTGTATTCTTTTATTTCCAGCTTTACAAAAGTCTAGCAACTATGTGCCCTTCTTTACATTAAGTTTAATTATTTGGACTTCATGAAACACAACACAAGTTGTCAGCAACAAGTTGCTCTGAAAGCAGAATAAACATGAAATATACCTTGCCTTTCAGATCTTAAAAAAGCCATCTTATTCAAAAAGTACCAGGGACCTCAGCTTCCAATTTCAAACACCAAATTGCTCCCTACAACTCAAGGTTCACATGCCAGAAGATGACTCAGACCCTTTCATACCTTTCATGAAGGTCAGATCTTTGCAGTTCAGCATGTGCACTTTCTTGTGGACACCATCAAAGCAAATCATATAGAAAACACTCAAGAAAATGGGAATTTTCCCCCTCCAGTCCATAAGCCAGCATAGTATTACTACACACTGATAGAATCATTCCAGTTTCTTCTCCAAGAATACCTTTGTATGTTTGTAAGGTTTGAGCATTTTTCTCCTTTGTTATCACTGAAGAAAATGGACCCCTTTTTAGCAGGCTGTAACCAATTAAAAACTACTCAAGGGTATAAGAAGTCAAATGTGAGAAGGGCCAAGTAACTTCCTGAGGTTTCCTAACAGGCCTGTATGAGTCCTTACAAGAGAGGCTCTTCTGGAGCAACTGAGGGCAACCATGGCTTGAACATCATTGCTAGTATTTCTCATGCATCTTCAATATTGAAGTCCAATATTAAACTATCATTATTAACTTTTTTGATAATACACCTAAATTTTCCATTTCTCCCATATGAAAACAATATTTCCATTTTTCCCTACAGAGTTGACCACCTACTGCTCTCAGGGCAGTTTGCTGCCATATTTGTACCAAGTACCATCCTGAGTCAAGTTAGACTGGCAACAGTCAGTACCTTGCAAGACAAGCATCATCACAGACAAGGAGAGTAAAGAGATTGGTTCTGTGTGCTTGAACCCTGGCTGCCAGACAGAACTGAAGGAGAATATGCATATTTACACAGTTGGACTCTACCAACTTGATGGCAGGATTAGGAGAACAATTGCTCCTCAAACTCAACTTCATACTAAAGCAACCATTGCTGGAATCTGAAAGCAGGCAGGAGAAGCCAGTTGACTTAGCCCTGTCCTCCTCAGACACTGTACATTTGATAGGTACCTAAAATTTCTTTGTTTACAGAAGATAACTTTAAAACATGAATTCAGCAATTATTTTATTAAAAAAGAGATCCTGAGACAAGTGGCTACATATAAGCAATTTTGTCATTACTGCTTATCACTAAGAACTCTGAAAATAGTTTTGCTCCTGGATAAGCACTTTATTTCATATAAATTGAAAAAAAATACATCAGTAGGAAAAAAAGTAAATATGACTTTTTTGCAATTACCAACCTCATGTCCTATGTTAAAACTGATCTATGGAAACACTCAGCAAGAAGTTGCTTCATATACTACCATAAATCTGTTGTGGTACTATTTAGTGATTAAAATATTAAGAGCACATTTTAAATATTACTTCAGAAAACTAAGCATACTCACCCAAAATTAACATGTTACTCTATCAAAAAAAAAAAAAAATCCACTGTGGTACTACTTTCAGTCACTACTGAATGGGGCAGTGACACCTTGATGAAAAGAGTGTAACAGAGTCAACAAAGCGCTTTACACAGAGTGTTACGAGTTTGACAGGTGATGAACAGGACACTGATCACCCAACAGGCCAATGGGAGATCCCAGAAACATCCTGGGTTAAGTTTTTGCCAAAGCCCTAGTTAACCATGTTGTACAACTTCAGTATTTAATTATACTTTGTCACAAAAATTTAGCCTCAGTGTGATAAAAGACAGATCCATGACCAAAAGTGTTCTACATGATGCTTACCAAGTAGTTTATTAGAAAACACAGCACATAGCAGGGCCTACAACTACAAGATTAACACAGATAGCTGTGAAATTCATTTAGCTGCAAATTAGGTACAAACATGTAGTTTACTGACTAACTTTTCCTACTCCTGCTTCAGCTTCATGACTTAGAAACAAAAGGAATTTAGTCAGGTTATGCTTCTGGACTGCTGCAGGTAAGTAACTGTACTAATCAGTGATGTAAGGATCCACATGGAAATTGATCGTGTCTCCACTGGTGGCATTAAAGACAAATCATCTTATTTTTGCTATGCTGCTGCAGAAGGAATAGTGTTGTTGTCAACTATAGCTTTAGGCCTCAAATTTAGGAATGATTTTATAAGAAAAAGTTTTCATTACAGTTTTTTCCTGTAATATCTACATTCTGGGTTTAAAGACAGTCAAAGTACAACACAAAAAGGAAAACTAAAAATAATTTTAAAAAACCCACAAAAACTTGTGCATGATTCCTGATTAGGAATGACAGCTTTGATTATTTATTTACTGGGAAGATGCAGAATATTTCCCCTAATGGTCACTTTGACCTGAAAAACTTTTGCAAGACATCAAAAGACTCCATTTTCATAAGCACTTACTCAACAGGTTGGCACTCCTACTGAAGTAGATCTGCTATATTAATAAGCAGTAATGTCACACTGAGGATGACCTACTATCTTTCTACTAACAGCTAAGACATGTTTAAGTTCCTACCTATGCAACCATCTGGAGACTGAAGTCTTAAAGGTTGTTAGCTCAAGTTTACTACTCATTTTTCTCAGAAAACCCCTAGGGGAAAAAAAATCTGATTACCTTTATTTCTTACACAACAATAAGACACACCAAACAATAAAACTTAAAAACACCTTTGCATTTAAGATCAAAAGAAGTGAGCTGCTCACAATCAGCTGCATTTTAGAAATACAGAAACAACTACAAGTTAAAAACATGTATATTACCAAAAACTTTAGGCATAGTTTTCAGAATTTGTTCACCAGGCCTCTGTTTTAAATTTCTTAGTTCAGATACAACATATTTTGTTAAAATATCAGCTGCAAAAACTGCAATACAAGTATTTTCATAAATACATTTAACTCCTGTTGATATTTAAGTAGGCTACCAAAAAATAGAAAGATATAGTTATTTTTCCAGCACCTTCATGTCCATTACGGACATTTTTGCATACATAAAATATAACTTGCTTAAAAACTTATAGCTTAACAAAAACCTTAATAAATCTCAGAAACCTCAGAAATCAAATACCAAAAAAATTTTTTTAAAAAATTTAAAAAAAACACCCCAACCCAAACCAGAACCCCAACTCTGTACAATTAGAACTCTAGTTCTGAGAGCAGAAGAGGGAGAACTGAAGAGACTACACCAGAGATAAACAGAAATAATCACAGGAATGCTTGCTAGCTTTTAAAGTCTTACAAAAGTATATCCACAGTGTCAGTTCCCACAAGAAAATCTTGAAAAATTTATTTAAGTGCTCAGAATTCCTCTTCTTTCTCATTATGATACATGTACTTCAAATTTATCAGCTGGTTACTACTCAATTCCTCTTTATGGCAGCCTTTAAAGCACCAGGAAGCTCAAAATTCATATTACACACAACAAAACAGTGGAAGTTAGTCCGAGTTCAGTTTTGCATTACACTGTTAGAAGCTCTGAATCAGTATTATTTCTGCTGAAGAAGGCAGGAAGAAAAGAAAACAACCTGAACTCTTTCTAGAGGAAAAAAAGAATTTAAAATAAAAATTATTACTGGATTGCTACACGTAATAAAAACACTCCCAAAACAAACTACACACTCTCTGAAAGCGTTCCTAAGTTCTATGCCAGACTCACAGAATAAATTTAGGCCAGTACCAAGCACTCATTTCTTCCCCGTGTGTAAATGCGACACAATCAGGCCTCACATGCAGGCCTCTCTCTCCAACACAGGCAGGACCTTTGTTCGATACGTCGATGTTTTTCCCCCAAAGCCCTTGACATAACTTTCCATTCTTTCCCCTATTATTTTCCGGTTCCCCGTCTAGACTTTGGGACTGCCGAGCCGAGCAAACCCCCGCCTGCCGGAGAGCCCGAGCACTCGGAAGGGGGAAGGGGGAACAATAAAAAAGTTGGACACAGGAAGACAGGCCTGCAGGTCTGGCGAGAGCCCCGGCCTCGGTTCCTTCCCTTGCCCGGATCCCCGGGGCAGCAGCCGGGGTCCCAGCGCCACCAGCCCCCTCAAACTTGTGCCACGACCCAGCCCCCCGGGAGAAGGGAAGGAGGAAGAGCCAGGCAGGAAAGGCAGAACCCAGCGTTTGATCAGCCTCCAAGTACGACGCATTATGCAAGCAAACGCAAGGACCAGGCAACTTGCTTCTTGACTGAAAACAAGAAAAACATCAGCTCGAAAACATTTAGCTGCGAAAATAATCCCTTTCGTGGGCAGCCAGCTTTGTGACTCCGACCCCACGGGCGCCTCCGTTTTCTGCCCACCTTCTTCCTCCCCCCAAAAAAGCTTGTGAAATATGGACGTCGGCCGATTGTTTAGCATTTTACCGAGCTGGGCAGGAGGGAAAGAAAAAGAAATTGCTATTTTTTCCTTGAAGATATTCCCTAGCTTCTTTAGAGGGGAACAAAAAAATAAAAGGGGGGGTCGGAAAGAAAGGACCACTAAGGAAAAGGGGGCCAAGCGGAGTGGGGGAGGGAAGACAGGGAAGGGCATCGAAATCGGCACGGCAGTGTCAACACTGACACTGCCCTTTTGTATCAGCAGCCACATAGGGCCCGCCGAGGGGCGGCCGCGCTGCCGCCCCCCTCCCCGCCAGGCGGCCCGGGAGAGGCCAGGTGGCCCCCGGCACCCCTGCCCGGGGTGGGGGGGCGAGGGATATCCCTGCAGCGAGCTCAGGGACCGCCTGGCCATTTTGTCAGCTCCGTTTCCACCCCTTCCCTGCACGGCGAGGGCCCCATTCCACCCCTCCGGGCCGCCCCATACACTCACCAGCACGGCGCCGCGTCGTTCCCAGCTCCCATTCGCCCCCCCACCCCCATCCGCAACAATGCTCCGGGATGGCGCCGCTCCCCTCCCCCTGCCCCGGGCCGCCAGGAAGGGCAGCTCGGCTAATGCCAGGATGACACAACAGGCCCGGCCCGGAGTCGCCGAGGGGCCCAGCGAGCGCCCCGCCGCCCCGCGCCCGCCTCCCCGGCGCCCCCCGACCGAGCGGAGGGGCCCCGGGTACCTAGTTTGTCCCGGTGCGGCCTCCGCAGACGCTCCGTGCCTCCCTCCTCCCGGCAGCAGCCGCCTCGCTTCCCTTCAATTATCAGCTGAAGCCGCAGCACCGAGCGACGCCTCGTCCGCCGCCTCCGCCGCCGAACCCCTTCCAGCGGCGCGAGGGGGAGGCCGCGGGACTACTTTCTCCTGGCGCCGGGGCCCCGCCGGGGCCCGCGCGCGCCCCGGGCCGGCGGGCGGCCCCTGCCCCGGCTGCCGCACCCCGCGCAGCCCCCGCCGCGGCCCGGAGCGCGGCCCGCTCGCTGCGCTCGGCGGAGCCGCTGGCGGCGGTCGGTAGTCGGTATCCCTCCGCCGGGGTCGTCACCTCGGGTCCGCGGGAATGTCCCCCCTCGGGGCGGCCAGGGGGCGGCCGGGGCGCGGGTCGGTGGTGGCACCGGCGGCGGGGGTCAGACCCTGCCCGGCACCGCGGGGCCGCCGCGGCTGCTCCTTTAAGAGGGGGCCGGGCTAGCGGTGACCCCGCGCGATGTCCGCCCCTTCCTGGTTGCCATGGAGACCGCCCGCCGGCGTCCCAAAATGGCGGCGGCGGAGCCGCGCGGGGCCGCTGCTCTCTCCGCCGCCCTGGAAGGAAGAAAAGAAGGAAGGAAGGCAGACCGACCGGCAGCCTGAGGCGGCACCGGCTTTAGCCAGGGCATGTCCTCCGGGAAGGAACCCCTCCGTGCCGGTGCAGGACGAGGGGCTCCGTTAACGCCGCCAGGAAGCGACCCGGGAGGCGCCACCAGTAAGTGCCGCTGGCCTGGCCTCCTGAGGGCCGGGAACGCCCGGCTGCGTGAGGGCCGGCTACCAAAAGGGTATTTCCAGACATGGCGAAAGTGCCTCTAGACGGGGAGCCTCGCTGTGTGGGAGATTCCTTCCACCTGGGCTTTCCCAGCCTGTGGGATGGGGCCCTGCATGAGGAACCGGAGGAAAGGAGGAAAGAGAAATGTGAGTTAGAAGCCTTGCGAAGTAGTATATGCACATCCCTAAGTTTACTCTCAGAAAGGCCTCACAAATAAATGTGGCACGACATTTAACACAAATAAACGACAAATCCTTAAGTATTACTTCTAAAGAAAAGTTTAGCTGCACTTTCGGGGTAATCAGACGTAATGCAGAGGGGTAAACAATAACATGATAAATATCTTGGAAGAGTTTTTTGAACCTTTGTTTTAAAATATCCTTCAAAATGTGCAATATGAGTATTTTTCAGAGTAATCTAATAGAATCATCAATGAGAAATGTTGGACAGTAAACAAATGAAATTTAACAAATCTGATTATGAGTTTATAAGATTATGAAATAAAAATGCAAATATACTATAATCTTTGTTTCGTTTTGAGACATTTTTTACTTAGTTTACTTATATTTACTTATTTACTTATATTTTACTTTTTTATACTTATTTACTAATTTATATATAAATAATACTTATTTAATTACTTATTTATATTTCTATATACTTATTTATATTTTACTTACTTATATATTACTTACTTATATTTTACTTATATTTACTTATAGTTATTAGAGAGACAAACACAAATACTTGTCTCAAGCTGGACATAATGATTTAGAAAATGTAAAGTTTCAGAAACCTTTCTGAGGAAGTTCTTTAAATGTCTCATCAGAACAAAAAAAACACAACATATTTTTAAACTAAGAGGAAGTTTCAATTTGTTTTCGTAAAGTAAACCAAAATAATGAACATATGTTCTTTCAGGGAAGAACTGCTGCACAATAATTGGGAAATACGTGGTTTTCAGTAGCTGAAGTTTTGTAGTGGGCCTGACCCACTGACCCCATAGGAATCCTACCAGTGCTCTGTTTGTCTGTGGAATGTGGCTGAGTGTTGTGAGGTCTTTGCTGTTCATTTTTGCACTTGGATAATAAAAATAAGATGGTTCTTATTATTATTACTGTCTTCAGGTTTTTGGTTCTCATATCTGTTTCCTGTCCCACACTTCAGGTATCTATTTTTGGGTTTGTTTTCAGCTGCCCAAATATATCCTGAAAACGAACCAAAATCAGATAACATAAACCATGCAAAAAAAGCTTCATAACTGTCAGTGTAAGTAAGTTCAAATTATTCTGCAAATGTTCATTGTACAAAGCATTAACAGAAAGCTGGTGTCATTGAAAAATAACTGGTTTGGACTGTTTGAAAAATTCAGCTTTGATTTGATGGCAGTAAGATCATTTAAGTATTGTGCAGTGAATGTATGCATTTGAATATATCACTATATTTTCTGAAGTTAATACATCTGATTCCAGCAAAGCTTTCCAGTTCACTCAAATTTTAATTCCGTACTCCTCAAAACACCTTCATGTAAGTAGTGTCTCCAGTTTTAACTTCTGTACATGTAAAACTTCTGGATGCTAGTTAACCTTTCTCCAGGCTATGGAATCTCCTGCAAAGAGACCTGTGTCAAAAATAGCAGTTGAAGGTATGTGCATCACTGATGTTCCAAGTTGTGTCTCATGTAAAATATATTTAGCCATCCTGGGTTAGCATGGAAGAGGCCTCGCTGTTGGCTCACGTTCCCATTGAGCTGTTTTGCAGTTTCCTAATAAATAACAGTCTTTGCCTGAAAGGCCTCACAGTCTAAGCCTCCAGCTTAGCATGGGGTTACATGAATGCTGAAACCTGCTACTCTGAACAGCCCATTTCTAGGAAGTGAGTGGTTTCAGCACTGTCTGTTGTTATTTTCTTTAAAAGCAAAAAGGGGAGTTTGTGGCTGCATAGTGGATTTGCATGAGAGCTCCCATAATAACACTGTCCAGTGTTGCCCTTCTTTGAACAATCTACTTGGGCTTTACATGAGCAGTAAATTCAGCTCCTCCAGGATGAAGTTATAAATTTACTGGGCATATCTTATAATGCTTCAAGGCTTGTGGACATGTGGTCATGGCCAGGATTTCCAGTTATCAGCTGAATATAAAGTCAAACTGCCACAGAACCAGAAATCCTGTACAAATACAGAGAATCTTAAGAGCGTGTTAGGGCAAGAAACTTAGTAGCATAAATGAGCATTCACAGAATGCAATTCACCCAGCTGGGTTGTGTGGAAGGAGAGATCTTCCGAGCCATCAGCGAAAATAATTTTTTTCAAGTAGCTATTTTAAGTCAGCAATCATAATTTTACAAATGCACAGAAACTATTCCACATATTTCCCCTGTGTGGGCATCTGCCAGTTCCACTGCAGAAATATAAGACTGAAAGGGACAACTTCAGGTCATCCAGTCCCAGTGCCTGCTGTTTCATCCAGCTACATAATAGATCTTCATACCATAAATGGGAATTGATGTGTTTCAAAGGCAGTGAAGCTTTTTTCCTCTGCTACTTCACACATAAAAACTGCTCCAGATCATCACTTCTCTGATGGTTAGAAGTGCAGTTACATAAATTAATTTGCACTTATTTTGTTTGGATATCTTTTGTGCAGGTAACAATGCTCTGTGTGTGTGTATATATATATATATATATATGTATATGAGATATATTGTATATATTTAATAAATATGCACTCTGGATAGGGCTTGTTTTGTTTTATCAGTCTCCACTTGTGAAACAGACTCTCTGCTTCTTGGTCAGTCTCATTTTCTCATTGCACTTATTCCCATTAATAATTTTGCTCTTCATAATAATAAGCCTAATAAGCACCATGTGCAAAAGCATTGTTACTTCCCCATGTCTTCTGAAAAAACCTGGGTGATTTAAATTTTAGGTTTGTATTTAACTTTCTCTACCAAAATCACATTAATGACTCTTGATCATCCTTCGATTAGTTATTATTCCAATGTCTTTCTCCTCTGTCAACTTTCAATTTATAACCTTTTGGTTTATGGCAGAATTTATTTCCAGATGAATGACTTTGCCATTTGTACTTTTCAATTTAATTTTGTTTGTTTGTTTGTTTCCTTTTTTCCTCTCCAGGACTGCTCTGAGTTGTTATGAAGGAGAAGTTGGTATACATGTCAGAATAAACATAATAAATAAAAAATCATTCTTGGCCATAAAATGTGTTCTAGGAATCCCTCTAGTATTCATTGGAATGGTGAATAGTTTTTGTTTTGCTTGAGTGCATGTACTATTACATAGAATGGGAATCTTTTTGTTCTTTTTGTTCAAGACTGACACGAGGGATAGCAACTTGTTTCACATATACCTTTTACTGCACATGTTTTTCAATCTTGAAATGCCAAATTAATGTTTTATATGCCAGTTATAATTTGGCAACGTTTATGGCAAAACACAATAGATATTATCTGTTTGTACAAGGCAAGTGATTAATCCTATGGCTTCCAACATTTAATGTAAGATGGCTTGAGAGAGCCATGCAAATAACCTTCCAAAATAACATTTCTTATAAATTGTCTAACAGATGATAAGTACAGGTTTTGAAAAGTGCAAGAGAGGAATCCAGATGGTGAGGTAGTGTAGGAAAGATCAGTCACTCATTCTGGTCAAACAGGAATATAGACACACATCCCCCACCCTCAAAAAAGAAAAAAGTCTGGTGCTTAATCTGCTTATAGGGCAGGCTGATAACTGGAATGATGAGGCTGGTAACAAAAGAAATGTAATGGGAAAATGATCCGCTCAACATGTAATTAATACTAGCATCTGTCACCATTTAATGAATGCTACACTAATCAGAAGATTTTGTCATGTTAGTAAAATGTTCAGCTACTTACCCACAAAAGACCAGCTTGGTACATTCACAGGGCTGCCGTGGTTCTGTGCAAAATTCCACACATGATCTGCTCGTGTAACAGCCAGGACTCTGTCAAATATGCAACTGCAGAATTGTGTGTTTGGCCAGAGATCAGCAACTGGGCTCTCTCAAAGACATACACAGGACATGTAGATGAACAAACAGTGTAAGTAACTGGGCAAACAGTTCTCATGAATGTTCTTGTTCTTTACCCCTCATTGCTCCTATTGTTTAGTGTTCGCCTCTCTGTCTTCAATCAGTTTCTGATTAAATCAATACATTCTGAGCACAGCACATTATTTTCGATACTGAGTACTATAATATTTGCTTAAAAGATCCTATAATTAGTTGTTTCAATTTTAAAAATAAAGGGTTTTTTCTGGCTTTTTTAGTTGTAAGCAAAAATTCTGAACCTATAGCACTTAAATCTTAAAGAACCTTTTTTTTAAAAAAAATCTTTTTTCAATAAACAACCCATTTCTCTAAATGATCTCTGTAAGTCCTCTACTACAAAAACCCAAACAAACAAAAAATCACCACCACACCACCACCAACATAACCCAACAAAAATTAAACCAAACACCCCAACAACTTATCATTTTTAATAAAATTTCCGTTTTAGGAGACATTAATAAATGACCCTTGTAGTGGTGGGCTGGCTGATTTTCAGTTGTGAGAACCTTCATGATTTATTAAACCTGCAAGGATAGCTCCTCCATTTGGTATTATACAGTTAACTATTATATCTTGGGCTTGTTTTCAAGTCTTTATGATGACATTTGATATGTAACCTATTTGATTGACAGCAGATGCCATTTGAAGTGCTTAAGCCAGATGGATGGGAGAGGGGGGAAATTAACAGATGTTCTAATAGTAATTGAGCTGAAATTAATTTCATGTTTTTGAAAGATACGTCTTATTTTAAATAAATATCTGTGGAAGATGAACCTTTTTCAAAATTCTGCTATTTTATTTACATTTGAAACCTGAGGGATGCCATACCAGTTACTACCTAGCCAGATTCTATCCAAGTCTCTTCTTTGACTTTTCAAACAGAAATTTGGGCTCTAAGCAAATGAAAAGACCACAGAAATTTCTCAAGAGGGTGTTTAAAAAATTATATTTTATTATGAGCTATTTGTATGGAGGACTTCAACTGCATAAAATAGGAAATTCTTGTTGTTGTAAAGTAGAAATATTTCAAGTATAGTTTGTTGAGACCAAGAGACAGCAGCCATTTTGTCCCAGCTCTGGAAATGCTCTGCTATGCTGAAAAGGTATTCCCAAAAGAATCAAACGTTTTCATGGTAATGCTATCACACAGTATTAATCAGTTATTATCAGGAGAATGTTCGTTAAGCCTAAAATACATAGGGAAATCACCTTTGCTTTTTTTTGCTGTCTCTAATTCAGACATCAAAGTAAACAGTAGAGCTGCTCAGAGAAAATGGAGACAGTTTCTCTAGGGAAATAATGCTGAACTGCAAAAACATGAATATTGTTGTTAGATGTTCCAGTCCAAAGCTAAAATAAGTCAGTTTAGCAGTGTTGTGACATGTTATGGTTTGGATGCCCAATGGTACCTCTCACTTCTGTGATGTGCCACCTCTGGGTGCATGCAGTTGCTAGATCTTATCCATAAGGTTTGGGGAAGATTTGGGAATTCTTTGGTCATGCTGCAATATTGAAAATGTAATACAGCACAAGAACTGACATAGGAAGATTTGGGCTTTTAACAACTGAAATGCAATTGGTGATGTGCTGCACTGGCAATGCTGGAATTTCAGGGCTTTCATTATTAGCAGAGCAAGATTTCTCTACAGAAGGCATTTTACATACAGCAATGTAAGTGGTGAGGTTTTGCCTTCCCAGAAGGCTCAATTCTCTTTTTGGAGGGTGATTGTTTTGGGGTTTTTTCCCCACAAACATTACTAAATGCTTAACCCTGTGAAACATTCATTTATTGATTTGAAATTAGATATATAACTTATATGGAGTGATTATTACTTGTGAAGTTGAGTTCTTAGTGAGCCTATGATAATGCAGTGCTGTCATGTGGGCTTATAAAATCCTTTTTCAGTAGTAGTTGAGCTGTTATTTGAAGATGCATTGTAATATTCTCATATCAGTTTTAATTAAGGTATGTTAAAGATGATAAAGTAATCATAGTTAATTTGCCATTAATCTGATTTTACTATATCACTGGTAGCCTAGAGATGTATTTTCTACTTTTGTCTTAGCTGGGTTTTGTCTACTTATAACTAGTCTTTAACATACAGACAGCAGGATCTCACAGAATTGCAATGTTTAAGCTCCCATTTTAACTGTTATGCATGGTTTTAATATTTGTGCCTTTCTTTAAAAGTATCATACTTGATCTAGTCCTGCCTGACAAGGATGATTTTCAGGTCATGAAGTGAATAGTTTCTCAAGGTAAGCAATCACAACTACTTTCTGCTTAATAATATAAACGTTTCTTGCTGTAACCAAGTCATGTGCACATGTTCCTTATTGACAGTGCTTGTTCTTTAGAAATAAAGAAAGATTTAGTTATATTTTTATACTTAGGTAGTAAATCCTTATCAATCTTGTTCTCTGTCTTGGGATACCTCAAGAGTAATTCTACTTTCATGTTACCAAAGGTAAGTTTGTGTTCTTGCCTGTTTTGTTTTCCTTTTTCCTGCTTCAAGTTAGAAAAATAATTATTTCTTTTTTCTGACACTTTATTAACAAAGAACTGTTTACATTATTTAATTTTCCATATACACAGTAGCATTCATGATGAAGAACTGTCAGATATGTTTACTTGACTAGGCATACCATATATTTATACTTTTTTCATTTATCAAAAGTAATTAAATGCACTCAGCAAAGTGTTCGAGGGAAAGAAGAAGGCAAGAAGTGTAGAAGGCAAAGCTAGAAAAGGTTCCAAATTTTTATCTCAGTGTGAGTTAGGCTATGAAAGGTCTTATCCAAAGATGCACCAGTGTAACCTAGAAATAATTTTTAAACAAAGTTGGTGGTCTGAACTGCTCTATGGATTTTTATTCTACAGATTTGCTTGATTTTGATTTGGTATACACTAAATCAGTTTGTGTTAAACTGAAATAAGCCTAGATAAAACCAAAGAAAAAGTGCCTGCAACTTTTGGACGGAGTTCACGAAATTAGATTAAAATTGGGTACAACCAGTGTACATGTCATTTGTTGGCTGAAGCCTGAATTACACAAATTATCTGGAGAAGGGTGGGAACTGGAAGAATGAACACTAGTGCACAGTAAAATGATAGAAATCATTTGTTGCAAAACTCAAAATAATACTGTAGACACAGAAACCTGGGAGAGTGTCTGAAGCCAGAGTTCTAAATAACATAAGAGGATGACAGTGAACAATGGAGTGAAAGGAATGACAGCAGATGGGGATTGCAAGCAAGAGAAGCTGTGTAGCTGGAAAGCATCAAAAAAGCAAGCAGATACTTGGGACAGAAAATGCAATCTATGTTTTAATACATGTGCATATCAAATTATCATGGCAAATGATAATGAGAGATTTCAGTTTTTGCTAAGTTGGTGCTACAGCTGAATTGTACAGTTGTTTCCTCCTGTGCAGTTTATAATGAGACTGAAACCTAGAGGTAATCAGTGTTAAGTTTCATATAAAAAGAGTAGTTAAAATTGGACTGAAAAAAATCCTAGTATTTGAAGAAACAGGAAACAAAATCAACCAACAGGTAGCACATGCTGCCTGTAGTACTGGGCTGAAAACTGATGGAGAGAAAGGGCACACTTGTTAACACAGCTTTTTCTAAAAACTGGAGTCATGCGTAGGAGCCAAGTATATGAAAATGCCTGCACCATGTGATAGATTCTTTAGTGTTCCTGTCTTCTGATTTGAGGTGGAATTAAAGCTGTAAATAGACAGCAAGGGAACTTTGAAAAACACACTGATAGTGTTAGTTTGTTCTTTAAAAATGTGGTGAGATTTTAGGGGCCAGTGCAATAGATGTTCCTCAAAATTTAGAGTAGGAGATGTCAGTGAGCTGAAAGTGAGCTGCCCACGTACGAATATAGGAAAACAGTTTTCAGCAGATATTAAACGGGTGGCAGATATATGCAAATCAGGAAGATAAGAAGTATCCAAGAAGGGAGCAGTGGGATGATTTAACTAAGACTTCATCTGTAATAAAAAGGATTGCCAGTTATATGTACAGACCCTGCTAAAAGAGGTGCAGATTCCCTAAAAATTACTTCGCGCTGTAACACTGCTGTACTTCAGGACATTTTAGAGAGATAGCAAAAGTCTGACTGCTCTGTTCTGTTGTTTGGAGTTTTTTACTCTAATAAAGACGAAACAAATTCAAACACACACACCACAAAAAAAAAAAAATTGACTAGACCTGAAATTGTGAGAGGGAGACCTTGAAACACAATTAAGGAGGACAAAACTTAAAGAAATGGTTTTAAATCAAACCTGTCAGTGTATTATCCATCTAGAAAGGAGTGTTATGTCTTGCACTTAGCTTACATGCTTTGTTCTGTTAAGTAGTAGAATAATCTCTTTGTGGCGGTCTGATCTAGGTCTGCCTGTTTAATCACATTAATAAATAGCAAGTATCATGCTCATAAGTGAAGACTCTGATCCTCTAGAGTAATATTTTATTCCCTCTGATAGTTTTGCTTTCCCTTCAGCATTTCCCTTCAGCATCCCCTCCCTTCTGCATTGTCTCTCACTCTTGTATTGTTTCTCTGATCTGTGTGCATATTCTAGACAAAGGTAGACCTTATCTTCCAAAGCACCTTTGCTGTAAGCAGCTGTGATAAACAGCTTTACCTACTTTTTTTTTTCCTTACTTTCTTCACTTTTTATTTATTCTCTCTCCCACCCACAAGCTCTGGGAAAACCAAGGAAGAAAGATACTAAAATAGGAATTAACCTGGTATGAAACTGAAAGAAAGTGAAGAGACCATGGCAAGACAACAAATTTTGTGCTCAAATATAAGTACTGCATTCCCCAAAGGAAAAGACAATTATTATTTCCAAGCTTTTTATTATATCTTCCTCCTGAATTTTACTAAAACGTTTTTCAGATGCTCTAAGTGGGAGCCTTTGGTAGTCATGCACACACACACGCAAAGCTAATCCCTTGGTTTAAGTGGGTTGATGTTTCCAAGCGTGAGTGAAGTGAGGAAAAATTATCAACTTCTTACTTGCTATATGTGAAATTTTAGAATTGAGACATTTCTCTTCTCTTCATGCACTTGAAATATTTGTTAAAAGCACCACACAAAAGAGTTTGCCTTGACATCAGGAAGTTACCTTTTTTCTGTGTGTCATTATCTTTATCTCTGAACTCTGCTACAGTCACTGGTATATTTTTGTTTGCTAACTAAAGCAAACTAAAGCTTATTTTAGCTTTCCTTGCTATTAAAACTTCTTTTTCTCCAAAACCAAAGCGGACATAAGGGAAGGGAAATATGTGGGTTTCCATGATGACTAATGTGGTCCTGAGAAGAATCTGTACAAACTTTCAGGTACACACTGTTGTCCAGAATTTCTACTCAATGATGTGTATGGTTATTTCTTGAAGAACAATTCCTTTAGCACAGCTGGGTATTAGCTTTTATACTTTAGACTCTTTGGCATAGATGAAGCGGACATCTCTGAGAAAGACTGAAACACAAACCATGTCTAGTAAATGCCAAATAAACCTACTTTTATTTCTCAGGAGTGCACATCCTGAGATGTGAAGGAAGCTTTTATCTTGCAGAGATGTAATCCTATCAGTACAGACAAAATAGTAATTGGTATAATTTCCTATATTATAGCAAATGCAGATGTTGAGGTTTTGTATCAGTTGTGAAATGAAGCAGGAACCTTGTAAGCCTTAAATTTGGTAGGGCTTAATAAATTTCCAAAAGAACTAAAAGCATCTGATTTCACAGACATAACCGGCAGCAAGTAGTAACTGTTTCATTTCATATTGTTCATCCCCAAATTGTGGAATGGCACCAGTGTATGGCACCAGAGTCTTCAGTTTGGTGGACTCTTGCACTATTGCACCCAGATATGTCATTTTTTGTGTTTACTCCTAAAAAGCTGTCCTTCAAAGACTTCTGAGAACCCCAAATAAATTAGGACTTCATTAACTGCAACTTCTTGATACTCCATTTTACTTTCTTTTTCAGGTCAAACCCTGCCAGCAATTTTGGGCAACATACCAGCACCAGTCCTGAAACCAGTATAGTCCCTTCTTCCAGATTGCATTTGCTAGTGTTCACATTCTTGCATATTAACCAAATCAGAACTCTCAAAATAATCTGCTTTGGCCAGTCATATATTTTCATTACCAACTGCCTAAGTGGTCTTTGAGGCAGGAAGGAAAAAAGGAGACTTAACAGATTCTTCAGTTGCACAAGATCTGCATTCTTGCTTTTAAGTTAATCACAATATGCCATTGTAGGCTCTCATGAAACAATTGCCCATGTGTGTTATTGTTTTGCAGCAGCTTATCCCACAGGGATCAAAATAGCATTGCCTTGAGCTGGGTCAGTGTCTATGCCTAAGGATAGCCTCACTCCAGCCCCTTCTAAAGCTATGAAACATTTTATTTTAGTTCTTTTGCAAATACCTGTCCATTGTCAGTGCTAGCTCTTTCACAGTTTAGACACAAGACATGTTTGCCTCTTCTTGGTGAAAATTTAGTAAAATTTTAAGGTACCTGTTTTGCATTTTTTAAAGTGATCTAGAAGCCTCAGCTCCATTCACTTGCAGAATAAGCACAGCTTTGTCTAAACCTAATGATTTCTTTTGTCCAACTCAAAATTTCCTTTATTTCTTATGCAGTCAAAGCTGCAGTGTGGATGTAAATGCAACTGTGTGAAAAACTTCACTATAAAGTAAAAAAAACCCTCTACTATGGTATCAGCTTCTCAATTAGATGCAACTATGTTAGAGTAGAGGTAGAAAAAACTATGGTGAGAGGGTGCCTTTTCATAAGTAAAAATTTTGGAACTGTGTAATTTATAGTTATCTCCTTTAAGATATTTCAGTAATGTTAATATTTATTCCACTTTTATTTTGTAAACATTTAAGTGAGGGTGAAATGGGCAATTTTTTAACCAAAATACATGGAAGTTAATTGTTTTATAACCAATAGATTAATTTGCAATTGTAGTAAAAATGCAACAACACTGTGCAAGAGAAAAAAAGATAAAATTATAAAATGAGTGACAGAAGCATTTGGAATACTCTAATTCTGAAATCAAAATTTTCTCGTCTTCTTTAATCTACAAAACCCAACCAAAGCACAGGTTGTTGGGGTTTTTTTTAAATATGATGGGGAAGTAATATAATGTGTGATAAAATAGTCTGGGTAAAGAGATTTAGTAGAGATAAAGTCTCTAAGACTAAGTGAGAATGTGACATTTTCTCTCTAGAAGACACAATGGCTCCTTCACTGTACAGTGGAATGAGATCTTGAACTGTAGTAACAAATCCAAGGCTAAAAACAAAGACTGGGGATTTAGGCCATTCACCTGGGACAGAGGAAAACGTTTGTATATCTCCTGAATCTCAACAGTGTTATTTTCTGGATTCTGTAGTCACCTTCCTTCTCCAACGAATGTTTAACTATTTAAAGGAGAATAATTTAAGGGAAAATTAACCTCCATATAGCCTGTAATCTGAGAAACTCTATTTTGAGTTACTAGTTTTAAGCAAAGCAAAAAGCTGAATCTGAAGAAGTTTGAAATCCTAATAAAGTGCACTGGGGAAGGAGAAAGTTTCTCATATTTGCCTTTGTACAGGGTTTCACAATTCACACTGTCTGTCTCAGCTCCCCCAGAGGTTTCTCAGTGTACAGTATGAGTCTGACATGAGAGACTTGCCTACTTCTATAGCTTCTGAATGAGAGTAAAGGAAGAGTGAGACCCACATCCTGAGGAAGGTGGCTCACCATGTGACAAATTTCAAATATTATTTTCTCATACAATGTAAAGAGTTCTATGCTTCTGGTAATCTACACTTCAGATTCATTTTGACAATAGATACTTTCTAAATAGTTTATTTTTTGCTAATTTTCACTTAAATATTTGTTTTATCGGTTAAAAAATTGCAATTACTTTTTACCTGAAGCTTTGTTTGGTTCCTGCTGTTTAGATTCGGGTTTGCTCATCCTTTCCTCTTCTCTCTTTTTTAATGACAAAAATGCCTATGGAATAAGCAGTGTGGTAGTGAATTCCCTTACCACTTGCACCTCCAAATAACATTGAGAATGGAATGTGTCCATGGTAACCAGGATGCACTCATAACACTTTCCATTCTTCATCTTTTAATCTATGCAAATAGTAGAGTATTATAAAATCTATGCAATATTTTTATTTGAAATAACCACATGCTAACAAATTACCAAGGTAACTGCAATTTGCCCTGGGTATTTGTACATAAAGCAGTTTTTTAATGGAGTGGTGCTATTGACAGTTTGTTCCACTGTAAATCAAAGAATAATGTTTCAAAAAATCACAGTGGTGTTCAATAAAATTACTTGAATATTTTACTTTTCCTGTGCCTCCACATGTTGGCCTGATCTTTCCATTTGGCAGAGTTCCATGGCAGTGTGATTCCTGGTACAGCATTTAAGAGGAGGCAATGTTATGGAAGTATGTATTTCTTTAGTTTTTTTGAAATTCCTATTAAAATGCCTTCCAATTTATAAAACAATAATTTGGAATTGTACAACAATATTGCAAAAGAAAGTACAAGAAAGTACATTTGTATACCCATATTAAAACATCTGCTGTAATAGACAAGGATATTTCATTTACAGAGTATTGGCTTATATTCCATTTTAAAGTTTGTTAGATTCTGAAAAGATAAAAACCTTTTTCAAGAGTCTAAACACACATATGCTCACTCTAGTGTTTAGAATAAGTATGTACTTGGGCACTCACATATATTTAAGCTTACATTATAGATAAATTCACTCATATACACAAAATAACAAAAAAAATTATATAGAATACTTACTGTGAAAAGTTTGTCTTGCTTACAGCAGTGCAGATTTTGAGTATTGTCTATCTGTATGCACTTTGTTTTGTTGTACTGTATATCCCAGACTGAAAAGTGTTGATTAATGTATTTTATTACAGATCCAAACACATTGTAATCTCTGGTGCAACAGAGCTCTGCTTTTTAAAGAATCAGACTTATAAAATTGTGTATAGGTAATTTTCTGTATAGACTTGTAGATTTAATCTGTAGAACGCTGTTAGGTATGCAAGTTCAAAAGTTTAAAAGCAACAGTTATTAATCAGTTTTGGTAAGTGGTTGTGGGGACAGGTAGCTATTTTGTTTTTCAGTTACACTTGGCATTTTCATGCTGAGAAATTGGTTTGTTTGTTTGTTTTTTAAGGAAATGTCACTTCCAGCAGTAACAGGAAAAGGCCAGGAGAAAGCCTATTAACCATGTTTCTTTTCTCCTTCAGCAATGGGGTTTTTCTGCTATATACTGTATTCATGTGGACCATGTTGAAGGATGTGCAAGATGAGGAACATGTTAGAGATGTCTTTTCTTTCTCTACTGGTGTATCAGTTTTGTTTTGACCCTGTTCTCACCTCATGTTTTCCACAAATAAGAATGGAAGAAGCTGCTTCTCCCTACACTGCTGGAGATAAAAAGAGCTTTAGGAAGTACAGTAGGGCATTCACTGTCCTATTATCCCTGTGCTGGGCTGCAAACATTCGAGTTCTAAAGCCTGCCCAGGTAGCAACATCATCTGTGAAACAGAATGACAAGGGCTTTATAATCCCTTTTGCATTGAATCCTCATTACCACTGGTGTATGAAATTATGTTATTTTAACATGGTAGTCTATATAGTGTATGTGCCTTGCAGAAATGTTAATTCCACTGTATCAAAGGTTTCAATGGGATATTTATTTTTCATATATTAAATTCTAGAATGCATTTTGGATGAATATGGGCTTTTTTGCCTTCAAAGATGCAACTGTTTCACTGCAAAGGACTAGAGACTGTTTATTGTAAAATAAAATGAATTTATGTAACTGAGTAGGACTTTTTCCTTTTATTCACACAAAAGGTTGTTTTACAGAGTACTGTGGATATCTCTGAGTGTTAATCAAAGCTGTCTTATATGTATGCAATCAGATATGTGATTTAGCCATTATGATTACCCCATATAGTGATATATTAGCCACAATAACCATCAAAATGATGAATTTTACCTGATTATATTTGACATTCAGATAAAAATGTTAAGCATTTATTCTAACTTATTTACTGCTATATATGAGATATCAACAGGATAAAAGAAAAACTTGAAAAATACAGACATGATTGGTATAGACCTGCCTTAGCAGATAGTCTGGAATCTGAGTTTTAATTTGAAAATTAAACTGAATACAACTCATTGGGAGTTACAAATACTTAATGCTCAACTTTAAAATCTCAATTTTAGCAGTGAAATACCAGAGAGATCTAAAGTTAAATTTGATGTTAAGAGATGTACACCACTGTTGTCAAAGCTAAGATTTGTAAAAGTAACTCCATTTTTTTCAGTCAGTATATGGAAGTATTGACAGGTAATGCAAGGCTTGCTTTTAATTTTCCTTTCTGGCATGTCAGTAGAAAAAATAAAGATCTATGGAGTATGTTTTTTTATACATACATGTATGTGAATGTGTTTATAAATATTCACCTCACTAATATTCTCATTTATCAGTTTTATCACTCATGTCAGGAACCCACCTATAGATATGGCAGTGTAAAGTCCTGACTTTTCTCAATTAAATGGAAGGGAATAATATTAGTAACACTGGATTAGATGGGGTTTTTTAACCTTGTCTATAACAGCAAGTGAATTTTACTTGTGGCTTGGAGCGTGCTCTTTATGAGGAACTTGTGTGAATGATGACGACTTTCCTCTTGTGTAGGCCCAGCTGTGACAGCAAGAAAAAGAAAGTCAATGTTAAAAGGTGACACACTGTTCAAGCACGTATGTAATGTTTTAAGAGAACTCTGGGAAACTTACTGGTAGTTAGGACCACTTATACTCCATCATTTCATAGCTATCTAGTTTACTATTCACGTTCATTTTTTTTGTCTTGGTTGCGTGCTTTGTAATGTAGATTTTCTTTTCTTTTTCTGTCTCTGAAAATGTGAGTTGAACATTACTTCTGGAAAGCTTTTGCCAGAATTTTCAGAATTCTTAAGTGCTGAGCTTTGAACTGTCCTATTAGTTTTGATTTTTACAAAATGTTAAAATCCCAGTTTAACTTCTAAGCTGCCACTTTTGAATGCCTGAGCAATTGGATGGGTATTTCTACTTAACCACATAACTTGACACCAGATACATTGGGATTCTATGAATAAATGAGAAACAAAACCAGAATCTTTATAGTCTTGCCTGTGGAGATATCTTCTGTGTAAAGTATGTGTTTATTTCTATGAACAATTTGCATACAGGTGTTGTTAAAACATTTTACACTTGTTGCAGGTGCATTATGGGATGTTTATTGTCCCTTGAAGCTGCTGGTAATGTAACTGTGGTCTGATCTTTTAGGAAAACTTTCTTTTGGGACTGTAGTAATATTTACATAGCCCCAACCCTGAATCTGGTATAATATTTATCTCATGGTGCTTGATATTAATTTCATCTGCTTTTTTCCTTTTTTTTCTTTCACAGTTGTAGGTAATTTTCAGGTGGTGGAAAATTTCCCTTAGGAATTAACTTCATCATTTATGACCTAGAGAAATTAAAGCATCCCAGGAGGATAATAATAATTACAAATGTTGGGTGGCAATATTGATCTGCAATAAATTTCATGAAAGATGGGATTGCTTTGGCTAACATACTTCTTTCTATGAATTAATTAATATAAATTAATGTATGAATAATGAAAAAAAAAACCAAAAAGATGTGACAATAAACCTAAATATATGATAATGCCCAGAAACATTGATAGTTTCATTGTAAGACAATGACAGAGATTTTAGCAACAAATATAGGCCAGAAAGCAATGTTCTTATGGCTGATAGCACATAACACTCTGTGCCAGCACATTTGTTTCTATGGCCATGTTGTGAGCCACCCAGATTTGAATTCCCAATCTAATTTGACACAATCAACTGCTAATGCAACAGGTGACTGGGACCATACAAGTGCAAAATTACTCCAGGAGCAGACAGCCAGGAAAAGAAAGGCAGTGGGGACACCACTAAGTTAACCTCAGAGACAGACTGGCCACTGAGAACATCTGAAATAGTGATGCATTTTCCCAAATTTCCATGCAACTATGTCTCCCAGGTAGTTATTGCTCTGCATCTTATAATTTTGGTTCCCAGTAATGGATTAACTTAGGGGGTGGTCATGTTACAAGATGCAGTTGATCATGGTTCACAGAGAAAACAGTTTTCTGAAAATACTAATCCAGAGACATCTTTATTCAGTAACTGCTGGGGATGGGTGAGGTGAGCTGTGCCTAGTCTGGAAATGGAGAATTTCATAACTGCACCTGCAGTCTCTTTTGTAGCCCAAGACCTAATAGCACAAACCACCTCGGATTGGTGAGATCTTGACTTTTTTAAAAATAAACTGCTTTTGTATTCTGAGTCTGTACAGACATTAAAAAAATACTTACAATGTGACTTCATAATTATCCCATTTTTATGATGACCTTGAAAAGTGTCATTTTGAAATAAAGTTTTGTTTTTCTCATCAACAGCTTTGGTTGACATAATCTTATTGAATCACTATCTTAGGTAATCATCATCTTATTTGAGTAAGTTCTCCAGGGAGGTGCTGGAGTCACTTTCTCTGGAAGTGTTCAAGATGTGTCTGGATGTGACACTTGGAGAATGATTTAGGGATGATTATGGTGGTGCTGGGTGATGGTTGGACTGGGTGATCTTGAAGGTCTAATCCAGCCTTGGTGATTCTGTGATTATTTACACAGAGGTGGAGGAGATGAAGTGGTGAGAGGTGAAGTATATGAATCTTGGGAAAGAGGTATGGGGGTAGGGGAGGGTACAACCATTTATCTCCTTTCAAGAATAAATTGGAGTGTATCCTCACTCAGAGCCTCAGACTAGACCAACACATTCTCCATGCTTTGCTTATTAAAATCTTACACATCCTACTGCACAATTGAGAGATTTTTAGCCCTGCTGAGTTCCTATGGCCTGAATTTCTACGTTAAGGTTTGTGTTTGTTACATTTGTGTTTCTGATTCGCTGTTATAACTTTTGCAACTGGTCAGTTTCAAGTGAAGTTGATAGAAATAATAACACCACCTTAAGCTGTTGTGTAGGGCTGTGAGCCCTGTTAGTGTTCCATGGATGGGAAGGCTTCACATTCTGAGCTCAAGGGACTGGATATATGTACACAAGGCATGGAAAAAGTTTCAATCAGCACTCACAGTCCATGAAAAAACCAATCTTTAATTCCAGTTATTACTGCTTGTTTTGACTAGGAGGGGAATGAATATGGCCTGAACCAACAGAAAATGGACTGCCTGTTGAACTTGGCTCAGGCTCAGTCTTTAAATATGCTGGAGTTTTGCAGATGTTCCTAATTGCTCCATTAGTTGAAGCAAAAAGTTGTACTGCATTTTAATTCATGGCAAAATTGTTCATCATTTTTTATAAATTTGAGCTTTCAAATAAGTAGTCTTCTATACTCTTTTTGTTGACCTCTTTTTTTTATTTACCTTATAAAAGTAGATTTGAGATGTGAATATATGCTGGTGAGAAGGCTTCCAGCTTTTTGGTTTTTACTCGTTGCTTGTAGTGTAAGGTTTTTCTGCAGCATTTGATATTAATATGATGTCACAATGAAACATCTGTTTTATGTTACACGGGTGCAATGATTTAGGTAATTAAATTATTGTTAGCAAGCAGTTTTCTGCTGTTATTCTGTGGTTTTAGTAGGTTACAAATAATTCAGTAGGTTATAAATAAGATCTGCCTGCTTTTTCTTGAAAAGTCTTACTGGTGGTTCCGAGGTTTCCTTCCCTATAGGAAGTATTGAAAGCCACATTTGCCATTCTTTTCTAAGATGTAGTCATTTCTTTCTCCTTCTGAAAGTAGTGCTAAAATTGAAGGGTTCCCTCTACTTTTTATTAAAATTGTAATATAAAATAAGGTGCTTTCTTTTTAGAAAAATGCAAACACAAATAGAAGTATTACAAGTATAAATTACTACGTTTGTGAATTGTATTGTCATACTGATATTATTTCTGTCCATAGTTCTTGCTGTTCCACACAATCAGATGTTTTTACACCTCCTCACCTCCTGTTAAGAGCTTTGCTGCTTCTAAGTATTCACACATAGAATTTTTCTATTATTTTTCTATTAATTCTCCATAAATATATTTATATATATATATATATACACACTGGAAGAAGAGATTAGATAGATAGATTGATAGACAGATAGATAGATAGATATTCTGGAATAATATTCTAGCTATCTGTACTGATTTATTTGCTAACTGAGAGTTCAAATAAATACTTCTCACCAGATCCATGGTTTGCTGCTAAATATTTGGTACCCTCCTGCCACTAAAATGTTTTCCTGTTAAGTGTTGGTATTTCCTGTCATTATCTCCTGGTTTTCATTCCTGTTATTTTAGCTCTCTTCATGTGATTGGGATTTTTAGAGAACTTTTCTTTTAGTAAGGTGCCTGAACTATTAATTACCATTTTACTAAATTTTACATTACCTAAACATTACCATTTAACTAAATTTATAAGAACAACCATACAGCTGTAAACATTCATGTTTGTTTTGAGATATTTTCTGTTCTTTTTGGGCAGTGAAATAACATATCATTATGTTTCTTTTCATTATTTCATGAAGCCAAGAGGATAGAGCACGATTTTGGATTTGGTTTTTACATTTGCAATGATAGAAAATTAATTGATGATAGTGTTGAGCAAGAGAAGAGAGCTCTACTTATATTTCTGGATGAGTGAACAATTAGTACAAGTCATCAAATATTCTCCAGCACTTTCAGAATGAAAATGTCATAGAAAACTTAAAATTGAATA